CGGGGCTGTGGCGCTGTTGGCGGCACTCGAGGACGTCCTCCTGTGCCCTCCCCAGGTCCTCGCGCGAAGCTCGTCCTGCGGCGGGGGGCAGGGAAGAGCCCCTTCCCTTTCCTCGTTGCTCTCACGGGCGAGCAAGCCTCGCGACGGCCGGGTCGACGGCGGCGGTGGCGGTGATGACCCCGGAGCGGGCGAGGGTGGGGACGAGGAGGAGAAGGAGGCAGACGCGGCGGAGGCGGCGGTTAAGGCGGCCCTCGCCTGGAAAGTTCCCTCTCGGAGGCTTTCTTGCGTGCTGGAAGAGTCCGGGCCGGCCGCGGGCGGCGGCGGCGGCGGCGGCCGGGCAGAACCAGCAGCAACGGCGACGAAGGGCAACGGAGACAGGGTCAAACCGAAGAGCATTCCGAAGGCGGTGCCGGACAAGGTTTCCTACAGCGGCGGCCCGGCGTTCTTCACTCCTTCCGAGGACGACGACGGCGACGCCGGCGGCGGCGGTGGCGATGTTGTTGCAGGGTTTGGTGAAGAGGGCGGCAAAGGAGTCGTCGCCAGCGGCAGTGTCAAAGACGGCGGCGGCGGCGGCGGACCGACACCCCCGCGGCGGGGGAGCGGGAGCGGGAGCGGCGAGAGTGAGTCCACGCAATCCGTGGGGGTAGGGTCGACCGCGATCATGACCACGCCCTCCCGCTCGCCGATGAGCAAGGGTGACGAAGACCGCGAAAGACCGGCGCTCGCAACGGCGGCGGGTGGCGGCGACGGCGGTGGCGCCGCGGTGGTAACGCGAGAAGTCTCAGAAGCCACCAAGTTCGGCGACAACAGCGACCACGACAACGACGACGATGACGATTCCGGGCCTGTTCTCGCATGGCCTGCTGGATCGTCGGCGAGTCAAGGCCGGCGAGGAAGCGGGGTCGGCGGTGGCGGTAGCGCCGGTCGCGGCTCGTTCACAAGCGTGGCCAGCTCGGCGCGAAGCGGCGGCGAAATGAGCTGTTCTAACGGCCGAGTCCGCCAAGGGGGCAGGGCGATGAAGTCGTCGGGTGGCGATAGCCCTTCCCTGGCGACTCGCACGCTGAACAGAGAAGAGCGGATCAGAACCGTGTTCGGCCAGAAGGCCGTGGAAGCGGCGGCGGCGACTGTGGCGCCCACGTCCGGAAGCGACAGCTCGTCGCAGCTCCTGCTCGCGGCGGCCAACCGGATCTACGCGCTTCCGGCCCAGGAGCGGTCCCTTCTGGCGGAGCTCGACCGCGCCTCGGACGTTGACGAAGGGGAGGGCGACGGCGGCGGCGGCGGCGGTTTCGTCGACGATACCGGCGTTGTCGTCGCCGCCAACGTAGACAACACGAATGAAGGCGTCATTTCGTCGCCGCAAGGCGGACACGAGGGTGGCGCACCCCCTTCCCCCTCCCTTCAGGGTGACGGAAATCCCGCGAGAGCGTCTGCAGAGCCGCCGCTCCTCCGGGTGGGCAGCGGGGGAGGGGACGGCGGCGGAACGACCCCGTTCCGGTACCGCCGGCTGATGGGCTTGTCCCGGCGAGGGTGGCCTTCCTGCGTCAACCCGGCGCGAAGGGAGGAGTGGCTCTGTCCCGTCGAGTTCGAGGCGGTGTTCGCGATGAGCTTCTCGGAGTTCAGGGCGCTCCCCTCCTGGAAGCGGGTCGCCCTCAAGCGGGAGTTGCTCCTGTTCTAACAGGGTGGCCGGCGTGGCTTCTTCGTTCCTCAGCTGTTTTGTGCCTGGCCTGGCCTGGGAAAGGTTGCCGGTTTCGTTTTGGTCCTCAGCTGTTGTCTGGCCTGGGAAGGGTTGTCGTTTTTTTCTTCTTTTTTTTGGAGGTGTCGCCCGTCCGGCTCAGCTGCTGCGGTAGTACGTTATAGATGGTAATCGCCGGTCCGTGCGTTTGATTGTTGCCGCAAAAGTTGGGTGAAACATGACGACGCGGGATGGGACAGTCGTGTGCCGCGGTTCAATTGGCGCTGTTTTTTTAGCGTCCAACGAGAAAGGATTGTCTGGGTGAAGTCTTGCTTTTGGTCTTCCCCGCCGGCGCCCTGCAGTCGGTTTCCGATTCCTGCGACGTGTCTCTTGTGCATGCCGAGTGATACTTTTCTAAATCATGGAGGTCGGTATAAACTACCTCAAACACTTACGTGATGATTGCAGCACACGACGTTTTGGCCTCTTGTCTTACAGCACACCAACATTCGTGGGGTGCTCTCTTGCTTGTGGTGCAGGCTTCGTTCGTTTTTTTGACGCGTTGTAGTGATGGTCGTGTCATCGTGCGCGGACGGAGGCACGAAGAATGAGCTGAAGCCTTGTCGTGCATTTGCCGGCCTTTCGCCGTGGATCTGGGAGATCGGTTTGTCCGGAAGCTAACAGCAACAAGGCCCACGTCGTTATGTACCCACTCGTCACTCAATTGTATGTTTTTTGGTGGTGCTGAGTCCAATGGAGAAACCGTGTAAACGAAAGCTGTTTCTTGATTTACAAGATACACGTGTTATTGGTGATCATCATGCTGCTGTGTAGATGGATGGTGGCTTGCTCGGTTTTTGTCCGGTCGAACCCCGATGGAGGGCATTGTGGGGGGTACGTGGAGCTGCGGGTACTAGGGGGGTGGGGGGGTATCATGTCCGTATATTAGACCAATGGTCCCTGACTGCTGTATTTAGAGTTAATTTTTATTGGTGGAGTGAGCGAACGAAGCGAGTCTGCTGCAGTTTCGAAAGTTGTGGGTTTTCTCCTCGTTCTTGTCAAGGGTATGTTATGCATAAGGTGTAGAGTGTGCTCTTTGTTGAATCGCATGGGCGTGCGAGGCATCCGTTGTCAAGTCCTCCTGCGATTCAGGAGCCAAGCCGTTTGTGTGCTGTTTTCTGTGGTGTTCGTGCATGGTTATACTATTCGAAAATAAGAGGGAAAGCTAATTTATGCTGTACATCCCTATCCCTCCCTTGTCCTTAAAGACAGTATCCTAAGTTTTTTTTTTGGCCTCTCAGTCTGGCGGTGTTCGTCCTGGATTACTTGCTGAAGAAGGGGGGCCGGGTAAATACTTGTGAGATAATTAAGTTGCTTCGTGACCATCATATCAGCGGAATTTTGTTTTTGCGCGATTGTCGTACGGTACGGACCATCGTGGAACCTAGGGTCGTCTGATGTTATGGATATTGTATCGTGCGGGTGGAAAGTGTTCGGCAGCCCTTACGTGCCTAAGATTGGTTGCTGTTCTATTGAAAGAGAGGGAGGGCCAAGGGTATTGCGTATGGGGCACGCCGCGTTTTCAACACAAGACGAGGGAATTTTTTGTAGCTAGAGTGTATGTCTTCATTTCTTTTTTGCCTCGTCCCATCGCATGCATGGGCGGCAGCATTTTTGTAAAATGTATAGGCACGGCGGGTTTTTAGGGTGGTCGTGCTTGTCGAACCTGGTAGTGTTTGCGATCCGCCTGTAACACGTAGGCGAGTGTTTGCCACTATGGTAAAAGCACACCGCCGCTGTGAAAACAGAGTAGTTCCGTTTCAAATCGAGCACCGGACGGTTACTCGCCATGCCAGGCGAGTTCTGTTCGCTTTTTTTTTTCGTTTTACAGAGACCAGAACTAGAGGTCGGACTGTTGAGCGAAGAATGAAAAAGAAGAGACCGAAGGAGTTGCGGCGCCAGGTTTGGAATTTCGAAGGAAATAATGCGTGCGACGCAAGCATTGATGCGGATGTTGGACAGAACACTCACTAACAGTTTCCAGCAAAGTATTGGGAAAAGACCTTGTGTTACGGGGTTGTTTTCTCCCGAGACTTTGATTGTCGGGACGGGTTTTTTGTCTTCCAGGAATTTCAGGTCAGAATTCTCGAATTTTCGTGCCCTTTCTATCTTTTTATCGCGTTGCTCTATGCTTCCTGAAGGCGCCGAAAAAACGTTCGGGATTTGGCACACGGTAAGCCGTGCGCGTCGTATGTCTGTCGTGCGCTCTGTGCCGCGCGGTGCCGTGCACCTTGCCCTCAAACCGAATACCACCGAACGAATTTCGCGTACACGTATGTACCGCCGTGTTTACCAAGTACTCGAAGACTGTGTCATCATCGAAGATGATAAAGAAGAAGGGTAACGGTTTTCAGAAGCGTAGCCTCGTGCAAACACGGAACATCGAAGAAATGGAGCCTAAAAAAAACTCAAAAATTTAACAACTTGAGCACCACCATCATGTGCGAGCTCGGATAAGAACCCCCACCACTGAAACCGATATACCAACCATTCCTAGCATGGCCCTAGGAAGTAAGAACCGCAGCCTCCGCCGACTCCCTAGAGGTTCTTGAGTACGGGCGCGTTCAGTGTGTGCATGGGGATCTATTCCACACACAGACAGGCATGCGCCCCTCCCCCCGTTTTCCGGCCCTCGAACAAACGCCCTGCCAAGAAAACCGTACCGTATACCGGGAGAAAGAGTAGCGATTGCCGCGGGGGGGGATCGAGCCGCCTTCCTGCAGGAGGTGGGCCCATCTCATCAACCATCCCGGAGGCTGCTACTGAGTGCAATTGGTTGGCGAAGTCGTGTGCACACAATACGGGTATCCTGCTGAATCGTCGCAAAAACCGGTAGTGCTAGGGCGCATCTCACCAACCCTCCTTACTCAACAAGAGGCTGCTGAATGCAACTGACTGGCTGAGTCGTACGCATAGGGCACGGGAAAGGCGACCTGCAGAATCGCCGCAAAACCAGTGGTAGTTGGTGTTCTGCTCCTTTCCTCGTGTTGAGGTGGACGACACCACGCAAGTTTTGCTGTTACATGTCCGAGGGTATCTACAGTTTGAAGAAAAAACTGGAATCGACTACCGGCAACTCAAGAAGTCAACAACTACCAAATTTCCTCCCCTCATGTGCCTATCCCTATGTCAGCCGGCTCCGCTGTGTTCTGCCGTGCATGTCCTAAAAAAAATATGATGGCATCGGCAGAGAAACGGGGACCCGTCTACTCCGATACACTGCCCACAAAATATCCGCAGGTACATGCACCAGCTTGACACGTAGTCTACACTTGATGATGCACGATCCTAGTCCCGGAACGCGACGAACAGTCAACCAATCAAAATCGCTGATGCCGGTTTCGTTGCTTGAAAATGGGGTAATGCACAACGGCGACAACAGAGGCAGCAAGTCGTACTGCAAAGGTTGTATCGGGAGAACGGGTTCCTCCGGGCGTGGCCCGCCACCTCACCGGGCCCAAACTCTTGTGCCGTGTTCGAAGATGTTGGAGCAGGCGATTCAAAACGTGCGCGCCGAGGTGGGTATGTTTGTATCGGGTGCTTGCAATTCCGCGGTGCCTCGGTCGTCATGTTCTTTTTTGTCCTTCCCCGCTTCTTTTGCCGTTTCTCGAAAAAGAAGCAGATAACATGAGGAAAACAAATGATGTTGCCGTCGTCGACATCGTAGAGCCGATAGTCCCTAGCTTTTCTCACAAAGAAGCGATGAACAAGAACTGCTCGATCTGTGGCAAGTATCTGTTGAATTGGCAAAAAAAAAAAAAAACAAGGAACGAAGCCCGCAGGGATGGGGTGGCACGAGTTGAGGTGACACGTAGGATATCACGGTGTGCTCTTAGCAATGCTGCTTACTCTCAACCATGTAGGTGTAAACGGCAGCACTTGAAGACACATTTCGACGTGTGAGTAAACGGCGTGTGTGTGTCACCGGTAGTCAGCACTTGGGAGAATACATGTGTTGCGTAACGGTACAGCATCGTAGGTTTCCCGATATTGTGGCATGTTTGGGCAAGAGGAGACGATGCCATTATTCAGGACACGGTGCCGCTATTCGAAATATGGGGTTCATGTACGTACATGTTGAGATTGTGACAAGAGATTTTGATGCCAACATGTCGGCAGTTCCACTATTCAAGTTGCCGCAATATCGGGTCGGGCCACCTACTGTACAGTGTGGTAGACGACTAAACAACGAAGAAATTGCTATATTTAGTGCACATCGTGGGACCTAGCCGGGCAACCTATTGTAAGTTCATGTCTTTCCCTTTCTCCGTCAAATATGAAATGCTTGCCAGCACGCTGTCAAAATCTCGTTGCGAATATGCTTTTCAGACTAGATTACTCCTGGGCAGAGCACTCTCAAGTGGCCACGGTAGGGAGGATAGGAGTCCGGTTCCTTATCAACTGGCCGGCAACAAGGGACACAATTGCACAGGCGGCAGAATGTACGACGATACCAGCAAAGCGACAAAACCAACAAAAACGATAACGAAAAAACACTGCCACCACCACTTCCAACATCAACAACACCGACGACAACACCAACACCAACAACAAGCGACGACAACACCAACAACAACAACAACAAGCACTACTCACTCTGGTCCCAAGGAGTGCTTCTTGCAAAAGGCGTCGGCAACCGCCTTGGGGTCGTCCCCGTGGTTAACGCCAAGCTGTAACGCCAAGAAACCCCGAGATGCCGATTCAACCTCGACAGGAATAACCTTCGCAGGCGTTTTTGGTTTCGTTGGGTAAGAAGGGGCAGGGGGACACAGGACAAGCGGACGTTGAGGACGTGGGGAGCATGGACGAACGAAAGCAACCCCGACAACAATCTTTCGATCCCCTTCAGGAGGGGTCTCACGTGTCGGCAACGGAAACTGAGTCGAAAAAAAAGGGATAAGTTTCAAGCGAAACAACGTGAACAATGCCTGCTTCGATGAACGGGGCATAAGGTGAATAGACAGAACCGAAACCACAGCAGCAGCAACAGGAACACCATCACCACCATCATCACCACCACCACCACCACCACCACCAACAACAACAACAACAACAACAACAACAACAACAACAACAACAACAACAACAACAACAACAGCGACGGCGATGACTACAAACAAGCACATCAACGACAAGGACAAGGACAAGGACAACAAGAACAACGAAGACGACGACCGATCCAAAGCACGCGACGTGGAGGGATCCTAAATCCTACATCCAGTGACGACACCACCCTCACCTTATCGTAGAGCCCGCCCTCGAAGGCAACTTTCCGCACCGGGGGCCGTAGCGCCCCCAGCTGTTCCCACTTGGCACCCCCTCCCCCGACCGCCTCTGTCCAGCGGAACACCTTTCCAAGAGTAACGAAGTCAAGGGAAGAAAGTGTGGTTCAGCCGGCTGAGGGGCTACGGCACACACGTACCTATGCTACAACAAGATACCTTGAACCATTACCATTGCAACGACTGACGTGCTGTACAATGTTCATAAATAGCGTGCTGAGGAGATAACTATTTCGAGGACTCTTGTGCCGGGAGAAGGGAGAAAGACAACGCGGTACGTACACGTCGTCTTCTGCCTTTCCTTCCTTTTTTCGCTTTTTCCTCGCGTTGCGTGTGGTTTTTCAACCACGTGTGTGACGTACCATAAAACACATTCATCTTGACCCCAGAAAGAACCAACATCACAAACGGACTCCTCCCACGTGTCACACACCGCTACGCATTTCACTCGCGACCTCAACTACCGGAGACAGTCAACACCACGACTGAAATTCTTCAGAACATTAAGGAAATTCACACACCTCGCATTCACTACCAACACTACCACCCAACTCTACAATCCTGCATATTCACAACACACCACACAAACAAACAAAACTTAAAACACCTTTGCCTCGCCGGTTTCGTGACAAGCGAAGGCGCTCAGCTGCCCGTCCTCCGCCCCGACCATGACAGACATCTCCGACGTAGACGGCAGGTTTTCTCCCCCGCCGCCCGATCTCCCTCCTCTGGGGGGGGCGCTGCCAGGAACAGCCGAAGCGCCGCCGCCGCACGCGTCGCTGCTACTACCCCCCCCTACCGCCTCCAGCGCCTCCTTCAATCGATCTCCCCGCAGGAAGCGCTCGGAGTCGGGTGTGAAAACCCGGACGGCGTAGTCCGCAGAACCGGTGGCAACGTCGGCTACGCTGCCTTCCGCGCTCATACCGCCACCGCCGCCTCCTCCTCCTCCTCCTTCGGCAGCAGCAGCGGCAGCGGCCGCGCCGGGGCCAGCAACGCTGCCGCTGCTGCTGCTGCCACTGCTGCTACTAGTAGTCCTCAGCGCCGCGACGGACCAAACCGTCTTGGGGTGTTTGAAGAGGACGGTGGCGGTTTGTTGAGCGGGCGGGGGCGGCGAGCCGGCGGCCGGCGGTGGCGGTGGTGGTTGCACACGCGTGGCGCAAAGGTTACCCGCGTCGTCCGCCGAGGCCACCAGCCCCGCTCCTAGGTGAGACACGCTGAACACGAAGCTTTCGTCTGAGGCGCCGGCGGCGGCGGCAGCAGCAGCAGCACCAGTACCAGCAGTACCACCAGCACCGCCAGAATCAACAGCAGCGGCACAAGCAGCGGCAGTAGCACCAGCAGGTGCGGCAGAAGTACCAGAAGTACCAGAAGTACCAGCACCACAAGCCGCAGCACAACGCAGCGACAGCACCACAAGGGTTAGTAGCAGCGACAGACCGACGGCAACCAGCAAGTGATACCAACGAACAGACGGCAGCAGCAGCAGCACGAGAGAGGAGGCGTAGCTGGCGAGGGGGGGGACGGTGTCAGGCCGTGGCCGCCTGTCGGCGTTGCTATTGGTGAAGCTTTATTCTGTTACGGTTTATGTTTTTTTTTTTCTCTTTTCACAACCAACTACGTATGCACCGGGAACATCGTCGCGTTCGCATGAGACTAGCGCTGGCGTGCATGGTGTTAGGCATGGAGCTGTGTGCGGCTTTGACGGAAGCAGAAAAACGAGTTGCAACAAGCAAGGAATCGCGACGAGATTGGCACCGCCCCCGCCCCCCCTTCTACAATGGCGTACTGCACCAGATTCTTCACGACAAACGCGAAACAATTGTCTAGATGGTATATCATACAGCTCGCACCGATGCCGTCGAATGAAGTACCAGGCTCTGAATGCCATCTCATAAACCTGTTCAGCCCTCAAGCCCTACACCCCCCCCGGCAAAGACAGCATGGAAACCCACCGGGAATCGTGACTACCGCTCGACAGTCCCCGTCCTCGCTCCACACGCGCACCGTGGCGTCGTTTGAGGCGCTGCAGAAGCAGTGTCCTGGCGATGATGACAGCGATGATGCCGGTGCATCGACCAGGCAAAGATCACGGATCCCTGAAGTGTGATCCGTCAGGCTGCGCCATTCCTGAGGCGGCGGGCGGGCGGGCGGGCGGGGAGGGGGGGGGGTGGGAGAACCAAGAAGAGATGGGAGAAAAAACACGACACGGTGTTCATCTTTGGTATTGAGACGACGCGGACGAACGGCTTTCTTCGTCGTTCAGAGGGAAATATTTCTTCTCAAGCCACATCGTCGATGCCAACAATTGGTCACCACAACCCCCGCCGTAATCACCCGACAAACCATGCAGCACCCCAGCGCGGCGCGCGGATGACACCCCCTCCCCTTCCCTTTTGGCGAACATGTCCGTTTCTCGCAAAACACGAAACTAGCCAGCTTACGAGACCTCTCAAACCACGCCGCCGTGACAAAAGCCACCGCGATCATCGCACGTACAGACAATACATGATACCTTCGGTGGCGAGCCCTCCCACATCCTGATCTGCTGCCCCACCAGATGCCCCTCGACACTTAGCCCGGTTGAGCCGGTGGCGACGGAGCCTGATCCTAGTCCGAGCACGCACACGTTGTTCTGCGGGAGGAGGCAACAATAGGAGAGGAGAAACGCACAATTACGAGCTTTGGACACCCGCGGCGGGGAGGAATGCGGCTGCTGAGAGCGCAACATTGCCCAAAAAAAGTACTATAAAAAAAACGGTGCTAGGACAATAACAAACTAAATAGACTCCTGTGATGGCTGTTCGATTCTCAAACGGAAAGGATTTCGAAACCGCCGAGTAAAGAGAATATTATGAACGGGGTTTGCAACAGGCCGGGAAGGCTGGCTTGTCCTAACCTCGTGTCCGCCCAGGGTCCACTTGCACGTGGCCGTTTCGAGGTCCCAGGCCTTGGCGGTTTCATCCCACGACCCCGACAGCAACAGCCCTTCGGAGGTCCATGACAGGGAAGAAATCGGGGCGTTGTGGCCGAGCAAAGTCCTGGAATCGTGATGAACATGCAAATGCGGCGGGGGGGGGTATATGCCGCACTAAATTAGTGCAATGGCAGATGTATGCAAATGCCGGGGAATAACATGGTGCCTCAAAGGGGTTGGTGTAAAATGAGGTACATGTAGGCGCATGCGGAGGAAACTATATATTATGCCGCAAATAGGTAAAGATGTCTGAGGCAATATGTGAGTTGTGGGCCACTACAGACGCCGCTGCTCGGATACAAAGGTAGCCAGTGCCCACAAAAAGGCAAACAGTCAGTGGTCCCTGTACGACTCAACCTCCTCCGCCTCACTTTCGAACCACGAGCTTCGCTCCGTTCCCACCGGCTGCTGCCGCTGCCGCCACCGCTGCGGGTCCCCCTTCCTCCCACTCCACCGCATAGATGCCCCCGTCCTTGCAGCCGCCAACGATGACCTCCTCGCCCCCCGCGGGTGACTTCACGGCAAGCGCGTTAACCCAGTCCGGGAGGGTGACTTGCGCTGCCGGTGCCACGTGAGTGCCGTCGATGTGGCCATCCTGGGGATCGTCGGCGTTGAGGGTGCGCAAGCAAGCATTGACGGAAATAACAACCTCTCTCTCAGCACGAAAAACGCGAAAGAGGAACGTTACGAGTGACCTAGAACTCTTGACGGGACGTGCATCGACGCAATTTTCTCAATGTTGCCGAAATGCGCAAACGCAAAGAAGCGGTACACTTGGGGGGGAGGGGGCGGTCAAGTAGGCGGGAGAATATCACAAAGAAGCGGAGGCTCATCGGGTGCTCCTGCATACTGCCGAAACCATGGAGCACAGCCCCAACTTTACTCGGGACGCTGTCTCCAAGGTGCGGGCCAACACACCGCACACCAGCATCACGCCCAAACGAGAGGAGGGTTTATCACCTCGTCCAGTGGCCAGGCCATGACCACGCTGTCCCGAGCGCCGCTGTAGAGGTGTCTCTTGCCGACGGCGAGGCTCCTGACGTCCCCCGTGTGCCCCACCAAGGCTGCACAAAGAGAGAATTCCGGGATGTCGCATTCGTCGGCGGTACCCCCGCCGCTGACCGCCTGCACGGCCATCAAATCGATATACAGCAGTAGTGGGCCCTCAACAAAAGCCAGTTGAATAACGCCAGTGGCCCTGAATAGTGACGGTGGAATTGCTGCGCACAGACAAACTCACCAAGTCGTTCTGTTCTTTGAATAGCGCCGGTCGATTCGCCGCACATACCGGCGTTGTTGAGAGCCCACTGCTGTAACAAGTTGGAGGTGGAACTTTCCACGAGAGTCGGCTGCTGGAAAAAGCCGTCACGCGCGGAGTAGATAGCTTCTAGAAGGGTTTCGGAGAAATATTTCAAGGAAGACACGCATTGCCGTAGCGGAGTTAAGGCTGGCTGCCTGTTCAACCCCTAAAGCCGCGGGTGGTGAGCTTACCGAATGACCCCTTGGGTTGTGAGAAAGCAACTAAGGCGTGTGTCGTCGCAAGTTTTCGGCAGCAATTGTGCTTGGTACTTCACAATACTTGCCAGCGAGTTAGCACCACATTTTATGTGCGCAGAGGCTTTTGTTGCTGCCAAATGACGATATTGCTGACCTGAACAACGAGGATGAGGCACCAACTTTACCTTACATACGCGTGCATATCGTTCAAGCTGTGTGAAGGCTGTGTCGTACCACGTGCAGCGTCGCGATTTCGGTGTACTTGCGTCCTGGAACTTGGAACATGCGCTCACTTTGGAATCATCACTACATACAAGTACCCAACCTAAATTTACAGGTTGTAGGAACAAGGCAAAGCGTTGAATGCAGAGATCTCTGCAGAACAGCCGGCAGCAGCTTTTAGTCGAAAGTAAGGATAACCTCACAGAACGACTACCCGTCCGAGATATAACCTCAGTCGAAAGGGATGTGGTGGATCTCTGCAGAACTGCCGGCAGCAGCTTGTTGCCTGCAAAATATCGCCCCTAGTTAGGTTCTGCACCTAGAGATGTACCAATACCACACCCATATATCGTGTACCAAGAGTCGCTTTTGTGTATGTCGCAGACATCAGCGAGCTATTGTTGTGGTTGCAACACAAGGGTAGTTGCTGCCGTCAACCAAGAAAAGGCGTCGCGATGAGCAGAGCAGTTCAACGGCACAAACACAGACCTATTGTAGTTGAACACAATGACGTTTTCATTCCGCGCTTTGTGTTGCTTGTCGGAACCACAGGCCATGCATATCGATCATTTTTTTTGTCCGTACACGTGTTCTTCAATGTGCACTGACTATTCCCGCAGGGCAGAGCCAGAGCTTTGACGCAGCAATCGCTCGAGAGATTCGGGTGCGGCGGAATACCGAGTGCACTTTCCGCTCTGTTAGTACGTGGACAGATTCGTGTCTCTGAACAAAAATTAGACTCACCATAGCGCTGTCATCTACGGGGTTGTAAGGATCCCGTTCACCTCCCTTGCTCTCTTCCATGGTATTTCCTCTCTGGGCCCTGAAAGGTGCAGCACAGCAGAGTACGCAGGAATGAGATGATGCAACGACACTCTGGCTGTCGATCTACAGGGACATCTACGGAGATCCAGAGGCTCCGCAGTCTTCTCTATCCGTAGGTTGCGCACAAATGACCCGCAATACGCGGAGCCCCTCAGCAAATCGCCTGCGCGCTTGCCAGCTCGCCGGGGCACAGGACCGTGCGTGAGGGAGAACACGAGGCAGAGGAGGGAACGAGAAGTAGCAAAACGTGGTAGCTGGTAGCCCTGTCGCAGCGAGCAAAGGCGTGCCGCAACCATGGCTGAAGATGCGGTTCGCAACAAGATCTTCGAGTACAAGGCGGTGAGTTCAAAGATGCCCTGTCCTTCCTTCTGCGGTGGTATGGCGCCGTTGCCCGTCGAGGAGCACGATGATGGAGGACTTTTAACTCGTGGAACTGGATACCGAGCACATCGAGGAGCAACGACCCTAGCAGAAACCTCTGTTGGCTTGGCGTGCTCAGTTGTTGTGTGCAATAATGGTACTGTTTTGTAAGAAAACTTATAGGGCAATATTTTGCAGGGAGCGATGCCGCTGGCTGCTGCGAGGATGCTCGCCGACAGCAGTGTCATCATCGTGTGTCCCGACCTTCCCCTTCAAAAATCAATTAGCATACCCCGGTTTCCACACCTTTGCTGTGCTGCATTCTCCACGCTCACGCGCCGTCTGAAGCACTGCTGCATAGCTGTTGGCAACTTTTGACGCCATCGTCGCCCCAGGGGCAGGCAGCCCAACGTCTGCTCCTTATCCCCAACATGTGGAGGGTTGTGATCCCGCAGCAGTGCTGCTGGCACCAACACCCAGCAGTTGATCCTCAAACGCTGGTGCAGTGCACGCGCACCCACGCCCACGGAAGCTTCGGTGGACCCTTTGTTCGTGGAACTCAAATATCTGTGTTGGAGATTTTGAGATTTTGGCGTTCAGGATGTGTCTATGCTGTAGCATACCGTCGTCTGCTACGGAAGGTACCACCCCCCGTACCAATATTCAAAACTCGATTTTGCTATTTCATCGTCGACGAGGAGGAGGCCACGATCAAGCTTTATTCGTTTTCGGAAGCGTCTTGACGACACGACTACGATGCATTCATTGTCGGTAAACCTCGCCGTTTTTGCTCCAGAGCAATTAGCTGTGACAACCGGGCCAAATGTATCTACTGCTGTACAACGGTGCGTACTGTACAACTGTACAACGACTAAATACGTTGAAAATGCTGAGCACGAACCACCAAGTACGCGACCTAGGCTCCCCTCTCTCGGTACCCTGACCACCCGCCCCCTATTCTCTGTTAAAGGAGAGGGTTTGCTATTTACCTCTCTTGCGGCGTAACAGCTGAGTAGAGCCCGTCGTGACGTACAGCCTGTGTAGCAGAGATGTATCTATTTAGCCCGCCACACGCGTTCATCCAAACCCAAAATACACAACCCCCTCCGCGGCCAACCTCCCCCACCCCGGCGTTTTCGCCGACCCCCCGTTGTTCCCTCTCGGCTCGTTACGTAGAATTTCTCCTTCATGACAGGCGACAGATTTTTCTGTATATTTGTATACCCTTCCAAAAGGATCCCCAACCGAGAGCCCCCTTGCCCAATTGTCTCGGGTTCGTGGTCATTGGAAGAAACATGTACTCGTGCCCTTACCCCCCAGTCCCCGTCTCCGACCCCGCCCCGTTTAACGCCTGTCTCTTTCGTAGAACTCCAACCTTGTGCTCACGGCGGGCCGAGATTAGAACCAACGGTGGATGCCTCGAAAAAGGGTTCTTGCGCAATGGACGAATCATATGATCGTGCCCTTACCCCGCCGTCTCCGCCCCCGCCCCGTTTCAATGCCTGTTCTCTTTTTGTAGAACTCCAACCTTGTGCTCACGGCGGACCGAGATTCTCGTCGTCGGGGAGAGGAGGGGACCGGGGAGGTAGAGTCTCTCCATGGCCGCATGAAGGGGCAGAAGATGGGGGACAGGCTCGACAAGGGGAACAAGCCCGAGGTGGGTCGTCGTCGGTGGTAACGGCAGCAGTCGGCGCCGGCACTTCAGAGCCTGTGGTTTGACCGACGCCTCTCTAAGTTGCTGCGAATGGCCGCCATGTAGTGTTTTTTGTAGGGTTTCTCACCCAGGCTCACAGAGATATCATGGTGCGAAATGTGTTAAGGTTTTGAGTTATTTGCGGCTCAATTTCGTATGTAACTGCCAAGTTCGTAAGTGCGGGCATTAGATGTACAATATGCTAGCAACAATTCAGTGCAAGGCTTAAACAATCTCAAAATAATGCCAGTTTCCAACCCGCCCACTGAAAATACTTCGGCACATCCCTTTCTGCTGTGGTTATATCTCGAACTTTCTGTGAGATTATTTGTTCTCTCTAAGAACGAGATGTAAATGGCCGCAGTCGCTTCCGTGGATGGATGCCCCCAAAACAGGAGCCGTCGGGGCTTGCAGTAGTAGCAAATAGAGCCTGCATTTTTTTGCGAGGGTACCACACGGGACAGCGTTAGAGGAGAGGCGTGCGACAGGAGATTGATTTTACACCTACGAACAAGAAGGAGGCGGGTCATTTATTTAGTTTTGTTAGGCGATACTCCGTTGTGGTGAGGAAGGTCTTGTTCATGGCGCCGGGGGCGTGTTTCGTGTCTTTGGCTTACGAGTATGACACGCAGCTGAATTTTGGTGAGTGATATTTATTAAATAGTTTCCAGGCGGGAAAAAGAAGACGTGCCGAGTTCTTGCAGGGGACGGAGATCAAGTGGGGCACGGAGACAAGAAGGGCCAACTCTCTGTTTTTTTCTACAAATGTACCACCTGATTTTGTTTTGTCTTCGTTTTCGTCTGGCAACGAACACAAGGCGTTTTTAGTACCCGCCAACCCGCCCCTTAACGCTGTCGTCGTCCATGTCCGACCTCCAACAATTCAACAACAAAATTAACTATTTAAATAGTTGGAGGAGAGAAAGAAGAAGTCCCAGGCGAAGAGGGAGCGGAAGGCGACTGGCGAGGAGCAGGAGAGGAATAAGCGGAGTCGCATGCAGAAGGTGTTCGTTGCTGGGAAAGGCTCGACCGTCCTCACCGAGACGGAGGAGCTCGACAGCATCAACTACCGCCCAAAAACAAAGCAAAGCAGGTGACTTGTTTTTTTTATGTGTGATGTTGTCTTGTTGGTATATTGACTTGCTATTGCTTGGTGTTGCTTGCGATCCGTTGTCATTTGCCTCCCTCAGTTCGTGCTGTTTTCTTGCTATCCGCCTGCTATTGCCTATTTGCACGCGTTGCTGTTCACCTTTTCAAAGTGTTTGCTTGCTGTTTGCTTGCGATCGACTCGCAATGCACTTGCTTTTTGGTTACAGTAGCAACGCGGCGACCTGCTGGCACCCTATGCCTAATTCCCGATGGGATAGCAATGCCCCCCCGCATTGCAATCACTCGCGCGTGTGTTTTTTTTTCTGTTTTCCGAGGAGCCTTCCGGCAAGGGTTCGAGGTCAGGCCTTCTCCATCGATGTTATTGATGTTGATGTTGTCTGCATTTCATGTTTGATCGCATTCGGATCTTGGACGTCGACACTTGTTTTACCGCAAGTTGGGTTTTTGTGTGACCAGCTGCTGTGTTTGAGAATGACGTGGTCTTTTCCGTGGATGATGCGCGGCCGTTTCGTTCCGTTTCGTTCCGATGCGTTCTGTTTGGCTCCGTTTCGTTGGAAAGGATCGCCTACGAGGAGGTGTTGTCAACCATGGTCGCTTCGCTGGGAGACCAGCCGCAGGATGTCCTGAGGGGAGCCGCGGATGAGGTCCTGGCGTGGCTCAAGGTGAGCATGAGAACGGACTCCCAACGCGTAGCGCACACCCTGTCAGAAAAGGTGGCCTATACAAGTGGAAGCTAAATAGCTGGACGGCCCCTCGTTGACTACGTTGTACAGTTAGATACGACCGATTTGGTCTTGTGATAAGTGCTCCATTGAATGCCACGTACAATACACCTCACTTGATACTTTCCCCCCTCTCCACACAAGCGAACCCGTTTGTTGTTTCCACCCCGTAAGCACGCCATGCTTGCGGCCCTTTTTTTTGTTTTTAGGATGAGTCCCTGACGGACCACAAGCGTCAGGAGGGCGTGGAGGAGATTCTCGGCAAGATGCGGCCTGAGCGATTCCACAAGGTATGACACACGACACGGGAAGACCGATCAGTCGAAGGTCGTTGTGCGATTCCCTCTGCCCTTGGCGTGCACGCGCCTCACCCGTCTCTCGGTGCTTGATCCCAGGCCTGTCCGTGGTCGTGAATCTGCGGTGCCCCGCGCGCGCGAGAGTAAAATTGAAACAATAACCGTCCTCTGTTTTCTTTCTTGTCTCTCCGCCTTTGAAAAGGGAGCAAACCCACGTGCTCGTCTATCTCTTGGAAATTGAAACCAAACATATATGTACCAACCCACGCGCTCGTCTATTGAGCAAAACCTGCAGATCCAGTTCTATCACTCGCCGCGAGCCTGCCCCTTACCCAAAGGCGGCACACGGAACCTGGAATACAAGCGTGACCTGTATTTCATTATGTCTACATCACGGCGTGCGTGTTATACGGCACGCGGCATGGTATGTATGGCGCGGTACACATGACACGACAGCTGCACTTGTATTACATTTGCGTGTTTTTGTTGATTCCTTGATAAGAGTGACCGACAACACCACTTTTTCTTGCGTTTTCCCCCTTACTCTTGTCTATCCCCGTCTGTTTTTGTTCCCAGCTGGTGAGCCTCGGGAAAAGCATCACGGACTTCTCGGCTGAGGGGGAAGATGATAAGGATAAGGACAAGGAGGAGATGGACCAGGACGACGACCATGAGAAGCTCGATGAAGAGATGGGTGAGGTCACGCGGCGCATCGTTTTGGTGTTGGCCTTTAAATAGCACTTGCTGTCGTGAGACGACACGCTAGTATAGACGAAGAGATGGGTGTGGTCACACGGCGCATTATTTTTTTCGTAAAGAGCACTGCCATCATGAGCTAGACGGAGAGATGGGTGAGGTCACCAGGCGCTAGGTTTGGTAGTGGTCGTAAAAGAGCACTGCTGTCAAAAGATGCTATGTAGACGAGGAAAAGGGTGAGGTCACTTCTAGTAAGCAATTGTCATGAAACTTAAGATGCTTCTATTTTGAACCGGTTTTGTTGTCCACCCACAGGCGTGACGGTCTTATTCCACGACGATAAATGGTAAGAACCGTACCCGACCCTTTCTTGAAGCGTAACCGCCTCCCTCTTTTGAAACGTTTCTTGCTGTCCGCTTGCAGGTGTCGCTGTCGTATTCGACGACGACGACGACGACGACCCGACCCGTTTCCTTTCTTGAAACGTAACCGTCTATTTTTGCGAAACGTAACCGCCCGCCTCTTTTGAAACCGTTTTCCTGCTGTCCGCTGGCAGGTGTCGCTGTCGTGTTCGACGACGACGACGACAAGGACGAAGACTCGGAGCTTGACGAGGTGCAGTCGGGAGAGGAGGACGAGGACGAGGGGGAGGAGATGGGCGTCGATGCCAGGAAAGGGCGGTCCCTCAGGGGGGAGGAGGGGGAGGAGGAGGGGGAGGAGGAGGACGTCGACGAGCTTTCGGTGCAGGACGTCGACGCGCATTGGCTGCAAAGGTGGGCTGGGGCCTTGGTGGGTAAGGTTGGAGGCCGAGGGCGGGATTGGTTGGTTCGGAGGTGTGTTGGGGATATGGTTTGGTCCGGGATGAGTCGGCGCTACGATTGTGTTGGTCTGTGGGATCAGTTGGTGCTGCGATTGGTTTGGTCTGTGGGATGGGTTTAATTTGGTTGCTTGGCTTGATGAGGTCGGGTCTGGATGGGTGGGTTGTGAAAGGTTGTGTTGCGATGCCCCCAGCAGCCAACCCCTTTGTTGAGACTCTTTGTTTATTTGCTTTGGATAAATCAGTTTGTCATTTCCCCCGTGTTGTGCGCGTTTTCATTGTTGCTCTCTTGTTTCTCCTACTCCTTTTCGCTATGGCACCATGCCCTTTTTTCTTGCCTCTGCCGAAAGCTCGAACAGGTTTTCCTCCTCTTCGTTTCTTTCGCGTATGACACCATGTTGTTGTTTTTTCTCTTACTGTACCTCTGCAGAGGACTCAACAAGTTCTACGGAGATGCCGACATCTCTGCCAAGCTCGCCGAAGACGTTCTCAACGTGCTCATGGTAAGACTGCCGATAGCGAGAGTGACCGACAGACTAGCTCCGACTGACGTGGCTTGGTCTTAGGAACCTGGGTTCCGCGTGCTGTCTCCTGCAACCTAGGGACCCTTTGTGTTGTTATCCTGAAACCTGGGGTCCCCCATGTTGTTCTTCTAAAACCTGGAGTCTCCCATCTTGTTTTTCTGAAACCTGGGGTCCCCCATGTTGTCCTGCTTAAAACCTGGGGTCCCCAATGTTGTTCTCGCGAAAGCTTTGGGGTCCCGCGTGTTGTTTTCCTGAAACGTGGGGTCCCCCGTGTTGTTCTCCTTCTCCCGTCTTTCTGTTGGATTTTTGTGTTGTGGTGACCTTCTCGGCTTGCTCAGAGGGCACGAGAGGCGTCAAAGCTACCCGTGTGCCTAGAGGTGTTTGTGTTTTGCTGCTGCTGCCGTGGTGGTGGTGGTGGTGGTGGCGGAGGTGGACGTGGTGGTGGACGTGGTGGTGGAGGTGATGGTGGAATTGTCGCTTCTCTCGATTTGGCTGCTTCGTTGCCTCTCCATTTGTATATGCCGTTGTTTGGTTGATACTGTCGGTTTCGATGAGACCCTCGGTTCACCTGCTGTTTTTTATTTTTGTTTCTTTGCTGTATGCGTCCCTTTCATCCTGTCTTGGTGCTTTCGCTGCAGTTGCGACTGCTGCTTCTACCGGACCTTCTCATGGACTACTGTTTTTCATCCTGACGTGCGTATCGACGCCATCGCTTTTGTTTCTCGCGCTCTCATTCTCTCTCATTCTCTCTCATTCTCTCTCATTCTCTCTCACCCTCTCGCTCTCATTCTCTCTCATTCTTTCTCTATCTCTCTCTGTCTCTCTCTATCTCTTTCTCACCCTCTCGCTCTCGTTCTCTCTCATCTTCTCTCCTCCTCCAATGTGGATAGCTGACGGATGAGCGGGACGTGGAGAACAAACTGGTGGTCCTTCTGGAGTACGACAAGTTCCCCTTCATCAAGGTTTGTATGCTACCGGCGGTGCGCCCGACGCATATTTTCGTGTTGCTGGTTCTCGCACTTGCTGCGCATGAGCTAACTAGCTAGGTGCTTGGACGAACACGCTCGTCTCAACGTACGCGCCAAGGCGCTGTGCAGCTTTGCATGTTACTCCTTATTTTCGGTGTATTTTTATTTTGGGGTTTCTCTTTCGATGTGTAGTTTGTGTGTGGTGTCGAATGTCATGCTTCGGCGGTTTTTTTTTGCTCTCGGTCTAACAGGTTCTTCTCTAGACCTGGCCAAGGCGCTGTACAATATTTCATACATTTAGTTCGTCTCTCTTGGTGTGTTTTTAGTTTTGGTTTCTTTCTCGATGCCATTTTTTTTGTGTAGTTTCTCATGCTGTCTTTATCGCTTTTTTCTGTATCAAACAGGTTCTTCTAAAGAACCGCGCCAAGGTTCTGTACTGCACCCGCCTGAAGGGAGCTCAGAGCGCGGAAGACAAGCAGGCCATCCAGGCAAGTCAAGGCCCGGCAACAACGGTTGTAAAACGAATTCGCGAAATACATTCGAGTTTTGCACAGTTTTTTTTTTTGTTCTGCGTTCATTTATGTATGATCAGGGCAAGCAGCCCAGGAAAGTTGCGTCTGCTTTTTCAGCGGCGCATCGTACGTCACGCTCGAGCGAATGCTGTGCCATCTGTAAGAGGAATCCTCTACGACAGCAGTGACAAAACAACCAATGTCGTTCCTCATGCCATCCACTACATTACACTATTGGGTGGCGTCAACCTTCTTTTTTTGTTTTCGTCGGCGGAACACTTTTGAATGGCCGTCCGTCTGTCCAAACAACAAACACACGACATTTACAAATCTACTGTTGCTTCCCCCCCCCCCCCCC